GGGGTTAGGCGGCGGGGTACCCGGGGCTGGGCGGCGGCGGGGGTCGTCCGGCGGTGGCGGGGTTGGATGGCCCCCGCGGCGGGGTTCCGGGGTCCGCAGCCTAACACCGGCTTTGCCCCCGGGGATCCCCGCTCGGCAACGCTGGTCTCAGCTATGCCCCCCCCCCCCCCCTACACTCCTGTTGTTACAGTATGAATGTACCTGGCCCTTTTGATTGGCCAGGTTCAATCCAAACCAAGAAGGGACTAGCTACTCAGAATAAGCACCGTTGTGCTTACGGCGACGGGCTCAATGACATGCGCCAAGCGAAACTCCAGTTGAGGATCATAGACGAGAAGGATATAGGCTACGACGATGAGACTGCCTCCGTCGATAGCATGAGCAGCGTCGAGCGAAGCTTCCACCTAGGACGGGGAAAGATACTTGACTCTCCCGCTATACATGTGAAATTCTAGCAGGAGATTACACTCATCATCAGGATGAGCAACACCCCGGTCAATCAGGTAAGTAACCGGCCCTGCAGCCGGCCTTCCACAACTTACACCGGTCGCATGAGCAAAATCGGATGAATCTTCCGCTGAAAAGCGGAGAAATATATCGCCCCGTAGCAACGCTTCTCCCCATGCGCAGCCCCCAACTCATACTCCGTCGAAACCGCTACTCCCTCGAGGGATCCGACCCCGCAGATCTCTTCGCAATGCCTGAAAACCCCCGGGACAATCCTTCACTTGCCCGTTTTCGTCAACGAACGGGTCAGCCAGGTGGTTTCCGTTCTTAACATAACCGTCCGCCCGCCATACCTCAGCGCACAACCTTTCCCTTCTAGGTCGTCCGACACCACTCTTCTTACTAATCTATTTCCTCCAATTGTTTCGCCTTACCTTGGACCCTCCTCCCTCGCTCGTTTTCATAAGGAAACGAGCGAGATCTTCGTTTTCTCGCGCGGTCATATCCACTTTCACGAAGCTTCTGAGCACCATCTTTTCTTCCTAACACTTATTCTACTAACTCTCTCCTACAACAACCTCATAGTCGAATTCGCCCAGGGTCAAAACCCCCGGATCGCCTCTTTCCCTTGCCGAATTCACCTCCAATCGGTTGCGCCCCTACCTTTTTGTTGCGCCCAAACTCTCAACCCACCATCTTCGTTTCTCCTTGCCTACGAATGTCGAGAAGGTGCCCAGGTTCATTTACTTTTCCCAGCCTTCTTCCCACAGCCTTCACTCTCCGCTCCGTGCTATCGCAGTGCCCGTTGGCTTGCTGTCTCTCTCCACTGTCTCAGCGCCCGATGCCTGCCAACGCATTAGCCCCGCCCGTTGTTATGATGACGACTTCGAGGGGAGCTAACAACCAGCCGGCCCGGGCAGGATGTCCTGGGCAATATCCCGGCAAGCGGCCTATTCCCCGACGGTCTGACTAGTCTTCCACTCCTACGCCCCTGTCCCAGTGTTCAGCCCTCCCCGTCGTCTGTCTTTCTCCCGACTTTCGGTGATAGCGACCGACCCCACGGCCAGCGACTCAACAGGCCGTTTCAACAACTCCGGCCATCATGGAGGAAACTTCGGAGGGAACCAGCTACCGTACGATTCGTTTCAATCTTTCATCTGTGGGTGCTCGTTTGACGGGTCGCCCTCACACCGGTGCGGCTATGACATTCACCAAGGCGCCTCTTCGGTGCCAACTGCGCACCGACCCAGGTATATCGGAAGACTCCGAAAAACTCAGGCTAGTAGGCGGCCCGTTATGTGTCTGTCGGTCTGTGCCTTCGTCCGACAAACAGATTGCCATTCAACATTCGCTTCGGGCCCCAGTTCGAATTTGGCCGGCCCCAAATGAGACAAAGTATATAAAAAACAGAATTAAAGTAAGCAAAAAAAATATAAAAAGAAGGAGAGGGGGCGGGACATAACAGCATCCCCCTGGTCCTGCCATGCGGGCCCGTGGTCGGCCTTTTCAACAAAAACTAAAGGGGATCGTCCCGCGGGACCCTCAACCCTTCAACCCCTTCATTGCCGCACCGCCCCTATGCTGCTGCCTGCTGGCCATGATCCCTGCACCTCCGTTTCACAAGTCCAATGTCGTAACCCATAGGGCTAAGCCCAAGCCTGAAACCGGCATGCGCGAAATCCCATATAAACCACTGCGGCGTAGCGCTCAGGGCCAAGAAAGCTCCCAGGCCACTCCTCCATCCACAGCCGAGCGCACGAGCACTATATGCCCGCGCCGGTCTGTTCTGACTACACCATGACCGCCACCATTCCGCACGCCAAACCTACTGCCAGTGGAACGTGGCGGACAGAGAGACAAAAACTTTGATGTCCTTACCTTAATCAACAAATAAAAACCAGGCCGACCGGCTATGCCGGCCTTAAAGCTTGCGCGCCCACACATTCCCTGCTCTATTCAACCATCTAGTCAAGGCGGCTCACCGACGCGACCGCGCCTTACACGGGATACTTTAAACCAATTTACTTTTCCGGTCGTTTGCAAAACCCAAGGCGGATACCCTTGTAAGGGTATTCGCACCGACACCGTGGAGCTGCTGTGTTGGCATTCCAAGGGTGACACGTGCCATATTTTATTCGCTGCCGTGGGTGAGGAGTTCATACTTGCACTTATGTGCCGGCGTGCGGTACAACTTCACGATTGCTATAGTCTCACGCGTCGGCCCTTGTATCTGCCCGCATTGGTTTCTGCAAATGGTGCAGGAAAGAATGCTGACATATTGATTGTGATGTTGTGCTGGCTGACTTACTCACTTGTCTTGGCTGTTTTGTGGTTGCCGTGCATGCTCACCTGCGTTGTTGTGCCGTGATCACACTGGTCGTGGCTGTGGTACCCGTACACTCTCATTAGGACAGAACAAAAGTTAGAGGTAGAAGTCAATTGAAATTTATTCCTTCATTATTTGTTGTTTATTTATTCTTGTTGTAGTAGATTGAAACCAGAAGTGGCTGTGGAATTTACTATTGTCTTGTAATTATTTATTGTGTGGCAGGTACACATTTTGAAAATGCCTTCCTTTTGGAATTATTTGCGCCTTTCTGTCTTCACTCGCTTCATCCCTTTCTTCTTTTTCCCTGCTCCTTCACTTTCTTCGCTGATAAAGAAAGTGTTGAATTAAAAACTCGTGGCCAAATTGCAAATAGATAGCACGAGATGTTGGGCCGTCTCCATCAGTTGATGGCCGATTTACATGATGTTGGTGCCGATGCTAAGCAGCACGTGCGCAGCCAATTCGATCCGCGAGCAGCAGAAACCGAACTAGAGCAGGTTGACTTTACTGTTCAGATGATGGAAGTCAGTACTCATGTACAACACACCATTATTCAGAGTCGACGAGCTCTGGATAAATTTGTGATTGGTGGACTGACAGAGATAGTCAGTAGCAGGGCCAAAAGAAAAGAAGAGGGAGAAAGAAGTGAAGAGAAGAAAAAATCTGAATTGTCTCAAGAGATCATGTTGGAAAACATCAGGCAATTGGAAAAAACATTGAACGCAGAAAGAAGAAAGATGGAAGAGTGCTAGAGAAGGAAAAAGAACAGCAAAAAAAAAAAAAAGGATGAAATCAAACACAAGTTTTATATTGAAGGAGCAGAATCCGATCTACAACTGTAGGCAATCCAGGCCCTCAGCAGTGGTTCAATCTAAAGTCACCATGGGTGGGAGACCTGAGGCAGGTCAATCCGATCCAACACTACACAAGACCTTGCCTCCAGGGAGTCAACATTCAATCTTGCTATGCTGCCTTGACGCTGGCTTTTGACGCTAGCTGGACGCTGGCTTGACGCTGGCTTGACGCTGGCTGGGCGTTGGCTTGACACTGGCTGGACGCTGCCTGTACGCTGCCACTGTGGTCAACGACGCAAGACTGCGGCTGCATGCTGGCGCCTTCCTGCTTCCGCGCCAGCCTCTGTTGATGTGGCACAAGGCCACACCGTTTTTGACATTGCTGATGTGGTGCACGCCACTGTGTCTTCATTGCTGACGTGGCATTGCCACACTGTCTACAATGCTAAGTTGGACGCGACAAGGAGGGAGATTGGGATCTGTGGATGATTGAGAGAGAGCGAGATACGTATCTGTGGTTCATGTCGATACTGGGCGCTGCTGAACATCTTCACGAGAGAACTGTGCCACGTGGCACTTTTGATGTGATCTGACCTGTCAGACTCGTCATTGGACACTGATACTGACGTGGAGGAGAGAGGGAAGCCCGGAGAAGGAGAGGATATTGTTGGGCTGCTATCTCTGTGGTCATTGATGGATATCTCTTCCACCCTCTAATATGTCTATTCCCCCCTCTCCTCTCTTCGTCTATTGGTTACCAGACATTGTATTAGAGACCACATTCGCGATTATTGGAAACATTGTTCAGCGTTGAGATTTCTTGTACTTCGACATCTGATGAGTGTCTTCCAGACTGGGTTTATTGCAGTGCAATCATTCCTTTGTCCGTTCACTCGTTCACATAATCAATTGACCGATGAATGCAAGGACCCACTGGTCTCCTGAAGTTCACAAAAGGTGCTGTCTTCAGAACAACAACACTACACGAAGTGCTCCCAGATAATACTTTTTTTTTTTTTGAGGAAGAACTTCAAAGACAAGATCAAAGAACATGGTTTTCTTTCCCCATCCAGTTTTCCCAAATGGCCCAGACTGCTCCAGCAACCCCGGGTGCACAGGAATCCCAGGATTAAGTAATCGGAAGCAGATGCTGACTTGAGCACTTGCTAGTGTGCCATCACCCCACTTCCGTCAGACCTGATACATGCAACAGTGAGTATCAAAAAGCAAGAAAACACAAAAATGACAATTAAGTTGAATTCACTTCTGCCACTTTTCTCTATTTTTCACAGAATTTGCGGTGCTTTTTCAGCTACTAATGTGCTCCTGTGACAATGAAATGAATGTGCTTGTAGTTACATGATGCAGATACAGTCATGTAAGAGCAATCTCAATCAGACGCATATCGCCATAAAAGCTTCCTAGCCCTGCAAACTCTTTGCCACCTGAGTGGGCGGTTCATTGCCACCTTAGGGGTTATGCAACCCCGTTTCCTCTGGACGAGGCAGAACACACCCTGAATATCCAGTCCTGTATAAGCACAGGTGTGATACCATGACCACTACGCTCGATGAACGCAAGGGACTTAAGGTTCGGGAAAGGCTCTCTGATGCCTATCCATGTATGAAGGCATCAGTTATGCTATTTCACTCAAAGATTTAGTAGGTTGGGTAGCCTTTGCAATATTTTTGTCCATTTTTGTTTTTTATGCACCTAACGTAAAGTTCCATTGCCGCTCGACAACAGTCAATGAAGCATTGGCAACATATATTTCACAAATTTACACACACCACACCAGTTCTCTGCCTTACCGGATCATGTCGTCATAGTTTGTTACCACCACATCTCGGACTCCAGCGAGAATGATGTCTCCATTTGCATCCTCCCGAATCGCTATCGACTTATTTGGAGTATCTGGATGTAGCAAGTCCTTGATATCCTCGTTGTATATCTCCACAAATGCACATCTAACCTGAGGATCAGCACCAGGAAAAAATGTCAACATCCTGACCACAAGCATTCGTCATCATCAGCATGCCCAAAACCAAAGCCATCACGACACTACTGCACTATGAGTTCAGACAAATAATCCTCAATGCTTCTCATACTTGCCCAACAACGTCATGAGTCACATCACTCGTTGGAGCAGGCATCACAATATCAAACATCCAGATGCTTTCCAAAATCAATTTTGCATGTTCCATTTTTTTGCTTCTTTTGATCTTCTTCTATACTCTATAATAAAGGGAACAGTGGGTCTTGCGTGATGCCGCTGTGAACCATGGTAACCGCCCAGACGTCCGGACCGGGTTCCAGACAGTCCGGTGTCCGGTGTCCAGTGTCTGGTCCCCATGTTCGGATGGAGGCCCCTGGGGCAAAAATCAAAAAAAAAAATGGGGCGGCCCAGGAAGTTTGTCGGGTCCTAGCCACCCCTCGAAAAATAACGGGGTGATTTTTAAGTGTCCTTTCACCCCACCGGACATGGCCTAGAGGTCCAGACACAAGACACTGCAGGTTTTTGAGGTGGCACAGGCCCGAGCAATTTCAAAGTGGCCGTTTCGACATGGTGCCTGCCGCTGCTGCCCGTTGGGG